GAACTCTGGCTAGCATACCTCTTCTCTTCCCTTCTCCACTTGTTGATCTAGCCTTTATCAACACACACTTCAATTTGAATCCTATGATATACTGCCAGAAGTTAAATGCCATGTTTGACACTCCTCCAGACAAGTTAAGTTACTAAGCCATGTGCATCTGGTTAGGAGAGCAGCCGGTATTTACAGCCATGCTGTCCTCTGCTCGTCTACTGATACAATTCTTCCTGCAAAGGCTAATATGGGCACCCAGGCCACTAAATCTTATGACATATCAGACCTCTGAACAGGAACAGTAAACACAGCCGGCTGGAGGGAGGACAGAGTCACTGGCTAATCAATAGAAACAGCATTTGCTTCCATTGTTTTTCCTCCTCTCAGCAGAATCGCCATTCTCATAAAGAATCTGCTCTCTGCAATTAGGGTGGGCTTGCTGATGGTGTCTTGGGTGGACCAGGGATTAGATTTAGAAAAAGAGGTTGAGGGGGAGGCAGAGAGAGGTGATAATGGAATTGAAATAGTTAGAAAATGGCTAATGCAGGAGATTCAAAAGGATTGGAGAGCATAACAAATGATCACATAGAAAAGATACAGGACCAGTGGGTGTGAAAAATGTATAGCCTACTGTGAAAAAAGCAGCAATCTTTGATATGGTATGGTGGTAATGTACATTAGAGGGAGGAAATGTAAATATTGACAAAATGTCTAGGCATAGCCTGTATTTGTGCATTTACATTGTATTATGTACAGTATATGTACTGTTGTGCCTATTTCTACACACATTTGTTCTCCTACAGGGCTGAAATTCAATTAAATAAAAGGAATTAAACTAAACTGAACCTATATTTTCCTATTGTATTATATTTATTTTGTTTATTACTAGGGATGCATGATAACTATCAGGACAGATAAATAAATCAGCCAATAATGGGAAATTTATATTATTATAAATGACCTGATAATTTTGGTCATGATACTGGTGGCGTTGGGGAAGGCGATGCTCAGATGGCATCAGCAGCAGCCGGTTAGCTCACTTCTCCAGATTTAGTTTTTATTTTTAAACTTGCAGCCCCAACATTGACTCAAGTGACATCACATCAGGAAATTCATAATTCAGTTTTGTGGAAATCCCTCTGGAGGCACAAAAGGCTTTATACGCAGTAGTCCTCCCCAAAAACGTGTAAACAGACTTTGATGTGCAGCCTCCACTCAATTGAAAATTGAATTTAAAGTAAACAGACAGTGATGGCAGAGAATAAGAAGCACTGTACATCAAGGAAACTGAAGAAAATATGTGAGAGAGAGGAGTCTGTTTCGTGACCTCAGGTAACCCGTGTGCGTCTACGCTACGTGTGTGAATTAGCCTGAGTGAGTATTTATCAGCACCAACGCATGCAGACACACAGAGCTGTGTCTGACACAGCCATACTGTAAAAGCCATCGTCCCACGTTCGTTTCTGTTGTAATGTTGGGCCTGTGAGTTCCAGCACGTCCGGCACGTCCTGCTGGTTTTTGGACGTGCATGGTTGGGTGAGACGGGGCGAGTTAGGGCGCTCTCACTGCCTATTACTGCTGAACAGGCACACCTGACCTTCCATAAATTTGCCGCCTGCGTTGACACTCATTTACAATGCAAAATAAGTACTGTCTGTCTGCCTGTCAGTCCTTCTACCTCACCTCCCTTTCTGTCTCTCTTCCCGCTCATTTTTATTAAAAGGTAATGTGATTTTTTTCATAACATATGTTCTAAGTTGGCTCCGCTTCTGTTTTTGATATCGCTGCCTTATCTTATGGGACTGGAGCGATATATGAAAATGAGATAAGGATATATTGACCGCTGACTTTCCAAGGAAGACACAAAGCTTCTCAATATTAGATCCCGAACACTGCTAGTGTTGCAATAACAAGGAGAGCTTTATGAAAAGATGTAGAGGATAACCTTTAAAAGAAAATTTTAATTTTAATGTCAGGCAATATCCCTAACCAAAAGCCTCAAAGATATATTATTGAACTGTCCTCAGCCAGGTACATAAGAAATATTTAAAAAAAAGAGAAACAAGAAATTGCCAATGTTGAAAACATAAAAACATTGTGTTCAATTACCACAACAAAGTTGATTTTGGCTGCTTCACCTGAATTATTTCCTCACTTAGCTGTGGTGGTATCTAGATGAAAGCCGATGGCTTTGATTTTATTTAAGTTCAGCCTCCACTCCAATACAAGGGAGGTTGATGAAAAGCACAAATTGTAAATTAAAATTACATTTTAAAATATCAACGGAAAATATATTTTTCCAGAATTAGTGTTCCTGTTAGTGAGGAAAATTCACAGATATTGGTGTTGGCATTTTTATGGAGTAAAATAAAGAAACACAAAGACTACACACACAAAAGAGGATTTTTGTTGTTGTTGTTTTCTGGATTTCACCTGTCCTCTGTCAAAGTAGTGCTCCAGTGAGCTACCTAACACACCTGCCTGTCCTCTCTCATAAGGACACCCTCCTGACCTTTCCTCACGCTATTGTTTGACTGCCTGTATGAGTGTGAGTGTGTGTGCTCTTTCCAGTGTGCCCATGAACTGACATATTGGCACAGTGCCCCAATGCACTGGTGAATGTGGGTCAGAGTGAGCGCCCCTACACGCATACACACAGGCAGACTTTGGTGACCTTCATTTCAGCTCTCTCCAAAAGACTTGCTGTGCATGGGCACATCAGAGAGCTGTTGTAGCAGCCAGTGCTCAACTTCAGATAAAGTAAGAACAATGTCATGTTGCATTAAGCCCATCTGAGAACATCTGATGCATAAAATTGTTGTTGTTTCTTCGGCGCTCAGAGGAGTGAGGAGGGTATTGTTGCTTGTCACCATATTGCTTCTACTATTTGATATAACCAGATACAGAAGGGGATGCGTTTAACTTGTATAGTTTTGCCTCACCAGCTATTAAAATAGATAATTAGATAGAAGGACTAGAGAAAAGGACGATGCTGCATGCCAGGGGAGCTCAAGGACAGCATAGTTAATGGGGCATCAGACACATGACAGGGAAGAAAGGAAATGGGGCGGATGTTAAATGAAAGGACGGCTGACAGACGAGCGACACTTGACATGCGTTGGAAAATTTCCATTTGTGATATAAAGATGAATAGTAAATGTAACCACCACGGAATAAAATAGCCTTGACTATTAAGTGGTGGGGAACTGAACACCTCAGTCAGTCACTTTAATGGTATCCCTCTGAAAACTTTTACAGTCCATGATTTGATCCTTTTACTGTTGTTTGGTTTCTGAATTCACAAAAAAGCCACCAGGAAAATGTCTGGGAATGCTTTCAGATCATTTAACAGACTTTAAGGTGTTTACTAAATTCTTGCAAGTTGCTTCCACACTGATCATGTTTTTTTATCTTTATTTTATTTTTTTTCAATTTCAATCTTCTTGAGTTGTTGTCACTCAGCTTGCTAGTCCTGCTGCAGCTGCCAACCTGGATCCCAGGCCACGACGGGATGTCAGCACTCAGCCGTCAAGTGAAAGAGTCTATGTGACAATTCTGCCCCACTTCCTTGGGACTTGACCTAGCACCACCTCTGTGTGTGTGTGGAAAGACATATATGTTAGAGTAGCCCCCGGTTGGCCAGCTGCATGGCTGTTAACCTTCTTTGCTCTTCAGACAGTGATGTTTGTATTCTGTTTATTTGTGAGCCAGAGCAAAAAATATCCCTATTGAGTTCACTTCACACTCTCACAACTGTTAACTACCTCTATCTGTGCATGTGTGTATCCTTGATACTTGTACAGTCAGCATTTAAGCACTTCATGAACAAACGTGTGTGAGATTAGGTAAACCTCTAAAGAGATTTATGCAAGTAGAGGTTACATCTGGGGTTAGTTTTAAAGCTGGGACGTAGGACGTGGGAAGTAGGTTTACAGTTATATCTAGTATTGAGATAAAGCAGTAGAATTAGTTTTTAAGGTTAGATATACTTTATATTACTAACAACAATCTTCCAAGCCATAACTTTACAGTATAAATTGATTGCCTACATTTCAGTTTATGGTTACAGTTCATGACACCAACACTTAGTTGAGTATTAATGGACTAGTGTGTAGGATTTAGTGGCAACCATTTGAATACATCTCAGCCTTCCTAGTGTGTAGGAGAAACTATGGTGGCTGTGAAACTTGTGACAAACGTAAAAGGCTCTATCTAGAGCCAGTGTTTATTTTGTTAATTCTGAGCTACTGTAGAAACATGGTGGTTTAACATGGCAGACTCTGTAGAAGAAGACCCATAGATAAAAACAGCCCATTCTAATGTAACATAAAACAGGACAATTCTTATCTTGAAACTCACTAAAGTGAGAGTCAGATCTTCTCTTGGTGTCTGATAGGATCCAGCTGACCATTCCCCAGCAGTGAATTCTCCAGGGTGGCTCCTCTGAATACCTGTGTTGAGTGCTATGTGTGAGAGTTGTGGGGTTGCATCCTGAGCGATGAGCACTACATTGGGGAGCTGCAACCTCAGCACAGCTCAGCAACAGAGAGGATCCATCATCCAGGACAGGCCTGGAACAGTGGAGCTGCTGGTCATATACAGACAGACATACAGTACGGCACAGTACACATGCAGGCATACACAACATGCAAGCTTGTTTTTAAAAAGCCTCCCCCTGCCTTCTCACCCAGGGCTGCTGTAATCAATCCTGCTGTGTGAGAACAGGCCAGTCCGAATTAATGCAACACTGCATTCGGCTCTGCATTCCACCGTCTGCACTGAGCTGTCTGACTGCTGCCACGGACGATGAACAGCTACTGTAGTGTGATTGCACCCTCTCATCTGCACCCTACACCCAAAAGCATTTTAAGACACACTGTAGTGAAGCACATGTCCTGAATGAAGCGCAAAGGCTCTCCACTGGGATCTAGGTTTAATTTAATGGGACATAACATTATATAACTTTTGTTATATATAATATATAACAAAATAAGAGCACAAAAACAGAGTTATCAGGGTGATAGCAATTCAGACATTTTAATTGAGGTGGTGACATCTTACAGAGTGGAAATATATAGATAAGATGACATATAGATGACGAGAGAAAAAGGCTCAGTGTGACGTAGCTTTGTTTACAACATTCTCTGACCTTATATGAACTGTGCCGGGAACAAATGAGGACTAAATGGTTACCAACACAAAATAAACACCATTTAATGTGTTTATAAAATAAAATGTAATTAGGCGAAATCCTATGAATCCAAATAACTCGTCAATTTAGAGAGTCACACTAAGAGTTTTGCAGTAGAATATATTTGCCCAGACAGCCAGCTGAGGGTTTTCAAAGACAGGCAGACAGTGTGCAGAGGCGACCTCTATCCCCACCGTCCAGGACTTGTTATGACAGATCTGACAAGCCTGAGAGATGACTGGTGAGATTTGGTGAAATGTGTGCCATTTAGCCCATAAAGAGAGGAGCTTTGGGTTGTTGATAGTAGCCCATATGGCCCTGGTGTGTAGGACAATGACATGGCACAGTGAACACATATAGGAGATACTTATAAGCCTCCAAAACACTGAAGGTCAAAAGGATGTGTCACCTGAATGCTGCGAACAAAACTGTCTGATGGCACGTAGTGTTAATGTACACTGAGGTAAAGATAAATCTCACTTTTAATCTAATTTGGTCTGGGTAAGAGATGATCTCTGTGTTCCTGTGTACCCCATAGACCAAGACAGCTGTCAAAATGATCATGTTCACTACAATCTGGTTTACATAGGCAGCTAAACGTCACTCAAAGCAAATGAGTGCTCTAGCTCTGCTCTGGAAATACAACTGTAGAAAAATCTCTCAGAAGCAGCATTTTTCCCAAAGGAAATATTATAGCAAACACTAAAATCCCACTTGAGGATTTAATCTAAAAAAATAATTAGCAACTGCCCTAAAAGGAATCACGATACCCTCCCGATCAGAAGAGAAGCTTAACCATTTGCAGGGTACAAAGTAAAAAATATTTGATATACATTTTTTTTCAAAAATGTCTGCTAGTGTGAAAAACAGGGGTCATCTTTATTTTTCATAATAAATATAGACTTTCTCACATGTTTAACAATTAAATTGGACAATAATTATACAAACAAGGATCTAGGAGAGCACTGATTGGCCACCAACCACCAAGATAGCGACGTCTCATAGAGGAAAAGAGAGTATAAGGGACAGATGGGACAGAGGAAGGTGGCAGAGACGTCTGAGATTGTTGAGATACTGACACCAAAGTGTAGCTCAGGGGCTTGATTACAAATCAGCTCCCTTTATTTCCACATTTCCTTTTTTCATATTCATAAGTTCAAGTTAAATAAATTAATTTATACCGTAACTGCCAACAATGGTTGCCCTGCACCATACAGTTTAAATAAATGGAAAAAGGGCTTGGCAGAAAATACGGTAGATGAGAGTTGTTAGTTGTCTACCGCCCCCTAGTGTGAGCCAGAGGAACGGTTAGAAAAGGCATTCAAAGAAAAACCAGGGATTGCAGTGACTGAACCCAAAGCCAGTGTGAAGCATCAAACGTTTAGCAACACCACTCCACAATGTTTTTGGGGTGAAGTGAGCCCATGTCCCATTTGTCTGTCCCCTCCTCTCCATGTGCATTCCTCCCCCACCCCTTTTCTTTCCCAGTCAGCTCCAGGGTCTGTTCAGGTACAGTATGTTCTCTCCCGGGCTGAGTGTTTTGTGTGTATCAAAAAGTCTTAGAGGATCTGTTCTGTGCTGGAGGCGGAGATGTCAAGTAGTCTCCAGGCAGCATATGGGTTGAGCTCCTCCTGGTCTCGACACAGAGCCCACACGTACATCATCCTGAGCACTTTGTCCTGGAGGGTGAAAGAACAGATGGGTACACTTATTCTTAATTGTTCAATTCTTCTTAATCACTGAAAGGCAGGGAAGATATTTTAAACTGTAACTGAATTTTTGACAAAGCAAATATAAGCAGCTATTTTGTGGTTATTTTAGAAAAAGATTTAAAAGTCTGCGACCAGATGAGGCGTGAAAGTAAGAAGCTGGGTGTAGGGGTCACTAAATACTGTAGTCCATAAGGGCAGAGTCTGTCTTTGGATGTCCAGTCATTTGGATTCAGCTGATAAAACGTGGGAGAACAGTATATCCACCATTAATCCTCTTGCAGTAGTCGTTAAATCTGAACACTGGGCAGATGCCAACTGCATGGTACTGAGTGGATACCTTGACCTCCTAACCGATCGCTGGTGTCCCTGAGGAGACCTGAGTGAACAACACGGCTGATTTACAACCAATAAAGCTTCAGACTGGGTCATGGGTCTAAATGAATAAAAGCTATGAACAAATAGTAAAAAGTGGCTTCAGTGTCTCATAACATTCTCTTGGTGCCTCATTTGCATTCTGACACGTGTGATTATGGCAGTGCCCGCTAAAGCTTTGCATTATTTCTATAACATTACACATACGCACATAACATATAACTTACGCTTGTTGAGTTTTGTGCCAATTTTAGCAAATCAAAGATTGTTTTCTTAATGGTGTTTGTGTTTCTGTTTGCGTGTGTGTAACTTACGGGGTCTCCCTCCACCACCTCTCCTTTGGTGTTTCGGATCACCATGACTAATTGAGCCTGGAAGGTTATAATCAGCACCGGACCCTGGTCCATCATCTTTCCCATGGCCAACTGGAGAAGAGGAAAAATACAGTATATACTTTTTTCAGTATAACATTTATTTTTAGGTGGTATTCAACTATTAAAATTGTTTATCATGGCTTAAGAGATATTTAAAAATACAGCCGTTATGGCTGATAGAGATAAAAATGCTGTAAGGACTAAAACAAGGACATGTTTGGATGGATTACTTGCTGATTATGGTTGTAAAATTCCAACCAGTAACGATCATTTAGATTACCAGCAACTGGCAGGAGGCCAATTATAGGTATAACCAAAACAAATATAGTATTATTATAAAACCGTGAATTACTGGGATTTAGTAAAAATTGTGCCAGTGCCAGTACTCAATCATTATTAATCTTGTGTAGTGCAGTCTGGAGTAACTTACATCAATATTGTCAATGTCCAGGATCTTAGAGTGAAACTGAAGTCCCATGGCCTTGGCTTGCTGAAGTGGGTGTGCCAGCTGGCTGTATGTCTAGACACCCAACACGGAGGAAAAAGTAGATAAGATAACATTATGACCAAACATTTCAAGATGCCCACCCAAAGGCAATATGTGCACCAATGTCACCAGTGTGCTCTGTGGTTAGTCTAACTACTGTATTACATATCAATAACAAAAGAAGCCTATGGTGTCTGTGTTTCAAGCTCAGAGTCAGTGTAAGAGAAAGGTCGTACCGCTTCATAACACCAGTCCTTTAGTACCTCCAGCTCCCCTCTGATCATTGCCTGCATGGAGACAGAGCAAACTCCAGCTTAATAAAACCTTTGGGGATACATCTGAAAGGGTAAATCAAAACCTAATCACAGAGCTCAGCCTATGTTTTATATTAATACAGCATTTGTAGAAATGTTTTATGTCTTATTCTCATTAGTGTCACAATATCCTAATTACATCAACTGTAATATCTACTGTAATTCAATGTTGCCTAAAAATAATACAATTATTTTCAGAAACATCATCTGGCATTTGTCTTACTTGATTTATTTAAAAAATTCAATGGATTTAACAATTGAGTTACACAGACACTGGTACAGGCGTTGTCCAACATACCTCCAGTATATTGGGGATGATATCTCGTTCACATTGCTTGAGGAAAGAATCTTTGTCAAAAGATGGGTCCACCTTCAAAATCTCTGTTAACACTTCAGACATCTCTGTCTTAGAAAACAGCCCACCTAAACAAACACGGACACATGGTCAGGAAATAATATGCATGAAGGAGAATACACAGTAACTGCAGGATACTGATGGCTAAGGTGAAGAATTGTTTATGCTACTGAAGAAAACCAAGACAACCTCTCCGCTTGATTAATGCAAATTACCAAACTAGAGGTATCTCACCTATGAGGTCTGTCATTTTGTCGGTGACGGCACGAGATGCTCTGATCAGCGCGTTGTCACTCTCATCATACTTCATCTTCATCTCAAAGAACCCTGCAGTGAACGTAAGAACGACGGTATGTCACACACACGCACAGAGGTGGTGGTGGGGGGAAACACATTCATTCAAATTCATAGTAAGTTCATATTCAGAGTTCAGACATCACTTTTCCTGTCCAAAATATGAAATCCCTCAGGGACAGCTGGTTAAACAATATGAGGAATGAAAAAGGATAAAAACGGAGGCTCAGCAAACGGCTGCTGCGCCCCACTGCTGGCTGACTGATGGATCACTGTATGAATACATGTCCTGATAAATAAACATAAACATCTCTTCAGTCCAGTCACACAGAAACACACACACAACATGTACATGTATTTAGCAGGGTCCAACTGTCTTACTTAGGGTAGAGTAAAAAGTGTTGATGGTGCAACAATAGCTACTGTATGGAAATCTACATAGCTGCAAATCTGTTGACTTTGCACAATGTCCTAACTGTAGCCCAAGTACTTCCGCCTGTCCAAACATTATTAATCTTCAATGCTGGTTCCCTAATGTGCACAATATCGACTAAATCAGCAGTGATGTTCATTTATAACCCTCCCCCCTCGTTATACAGACTCTCCTCTTGATCCCTTAGCAGCACCTTCTATTAACTGGATATTTCAGCAAATGCTTATTAGTGGAGCCTCATAAACTTGAAGGTTAGTAAAGTGTTTCACGCCTCCAGGCCCAGGCACAAATATATCTTACACAAGTTTTATTACTTGGATAATTTTGCTATAGATGAATTTATCTCACCAGAGCCCCAACAATAGCAAAACCACATGCAGGACAACCTGACTGATGTGGATTCTCCCAGATTCTTGCAGACTGTTTAACTAGGCCCACTATGTTGTTTTACTTTATCACTACTCAGCCAAGGATACAGACAGAAAGATAAAGAGGTCAGTTAGTCCTTACTGTTGAAGACCATATTGTTGTCTTTGAAGTCCTTCCACTGCTGGTACCACTTTGAGTCTTTGTGGAGCACCACACCCATAGCTTCCCTGAAGAACACACAAAGTAAAGCTTCAAACCGCGGCCCGAGTGAAACGTATCCCTGTTGTCTTGCTGCACTCATGCTGGCCATTTCTTTAAGCCAGAAAGGAAAACACTGCAGTGTTTACAGCAGAAACAATTAACTACATGTAAAAGAAACATTGGGAATACTATCAAGGTTCCACTTTGAGAAATACACCATCCCCAAAAGCAATCATTTCCCTAATAGTAGTTCGGATAAAGTTGGGTAGTCTCTTGGTACCTGGCTATATGTGATTCTCAGCTCTCACAGTTTTTCAGCTTCCTGTATTTTTATTATTTATTTAATTTTTGTCAAAGATTGTATTTTTTTACGTAGGCTGTGTCTGTATGGAGTCAAAAAGAAAACTATGCTCTTGTTTTATCAGGCTGTTTTGGAGAGTGTTATCAGATATGGAATTACTGCATGATTTGGGAATATTCCTGTGGCATAAAAAAACAGTTAGCACATTTTGTTCAGACGGCGATGAAAATGACCTTTATGACCTTAAGTGCCATAAACAGGTAAAGACAATCCTCTGTGATCTATCCCACATTCTCCCAGTATGAGCTGTTACCATAAGGCAGACGATACAGAGCTCAGCTGTGTACATTCAATCGGTTAAAGAACTCCTTTGTGCCTGTGTCAGTCAGAGTCTTTAATGTTCGGTGCCTGCTGTAGTTGTGTGGCTACATATATTGATGGTTGTAGCTTTGTTGAGGCCAAGAAAGAAAGAAAGTGAGGTGTTCCCCTGTCAGTATCAGAAGCAGAGGGCACTCACGTACTCGTTGGCTTCGAAGACCTTGGTGTCATCCCCTGCCCCCTTGGAGGAGAACTCACTCCTCTTCCTGAGTCTTGCAGGAGGCCGATAAGGTCCAGCGTGACCCAAGTCACCAATCTCTTTCTTCACACTCTCCATGCCCTGAAAACAGATTAACGGGTAGCAGAATAGAGTTATTATGTATCATTTTCAAGACACTCCTAATGAAGTGATTCCTAATCACTATTTCTCTATGTTTATCCTTACCCCTGAGAAGTTTCTATGAATGAAATATGACAAATTATTTACCCAACAAAGTGAACCAAATTTGTAATTAAGTGAAATATCATTAAATAAAGGTGCTAGTATAGTGTGTGTTCAAGCCATACAAAATTAAACAACAACAAACAAATGGACTGTTTTATCTTTATTTGCATACAATATTAACATTACCCAGATCTTTAGATTCACAATGAGACACTTCTCAGTCCTGCCTTACTTAAAAGGGTTAAGATTATGTGTCAAGTAAGTATCTTTACTTTATTTAAGAAAAGCAAAAACCAACAAATGCAGTGTAACTTTTGATAACAAGTCACCACAGTGAGCACAGTGAATCCATACCTGTGATATTGCTCTGAACGTGCCGGTCTTCCCCAACATCTCTCCACTTTTAGAGACGCTCTCTGCTGAGGTCTTCGCTGTTTTGGCTGCTCCCTCCATTCCCTCCTTGATTTTTTTCCCAATTTCTGTACGAGTGACATCCCCAAACCCCTGTCCATACACACAGAAACACACACACAACTTATAAGTGTGGATGGCTCAACTTGAATAGCACACTTTCATATGTCAATCAAAAGAAAGAAATCACATTTACCTCTTTGACTGACTCAGAGATGGTTCCCCACTTCTTCTTGAGAACCTCGGAGGTCTTCACAGTTTCAGACTCTATAGTTTTCTGGGAAAGAGATAGGGTTGGGGGTGTTTAGATCTATTACTTCTTTTTCATATTAACACAGATATAATGTATGTGTGTGTGGCGATATACTAACATATTTTCTTCTGGCTTGTTTCAATGCATCCGACTCCTCCAGTTTTTTGGCCTCTGCCCGGAACTTTTGGATGTTTTCCTTCATTTCCTTGTTCTTGTTTAGCTCCTGCTTCAGGTTGTCTAGAAACTCCCCCAGGAAACCTTTTCTGCCACCGCCTCTCTCCCCTGACAAATACCTTACCTGCAGGAGGGGTGACTGAAGCACCTTGTTGGTATGAATAAGAAACAACAAATATGATTCATTTCCTCCAAGCATGTCTACAGTACTTCAATGAAACTTGAAATTGTATGTTCATAGCGTTGCTTATGTACTCAGACCAGTTGAGGGAGGTGTGCCCTACTGTTCAAGATAATAAACTTAAGGTAGGAAACAAGCATAATGACATGAGCACTTTAGGATAGTAGATATGCAGCTAATGGATTGAAGCCTACACTGCTCATACTGTTCTTCTAATGAGCCCCTGCTTTTTCACTATTCTTTATATGCTTGTTTTCAACCTAAAATTTAAATAAACCGATACCAGTTCATAGATACACGCAGTTAAAACTTACACAGTGAAATAAAACAGTCCTGCAATAAAGCCACTTATTGTTCAGAGAGATGATGATTGAAATGAATGGTAATTTCTGGAGGCTGCAGTTTTTGTTGCTGTTGAATTGTATTGCGTTATACTGACAGGTGTTTCTATTATTGTGTCCACTCTATTTGTATCAAACAGGGTAGACTAAACAACAGAAACACCTCTCTGCATAATGCAATTCAGAAACACCACAAAGACTGAATATTATAACACAAATACATAGTAGCTAATATTGGCAACTGTGTGTTCATTTTGCTAAGTTATAACAATGATAACCACTACAACTGTGTCTTAATAAAACTACAGTGAGGTCTGTGGGGTGTGTAAAGAGAGTGGGGTGACAGTAACACGGTCAGGTACCTGAGAAGAACAGGTGAGGGCCCCACGTATCCTGTAGACATTGGGTCTGTTGTGAAGCAGCAGGTAAGAGGAAGGGAAAGCCACCAAGCCTCTTCTTACACATATCTGGAGACACACATACGAAGTCAGCCTCAAACTTTAGATAACCACGTAGCTACTGACAATCACTAGGGAGACAAAGTCTTCATATTCGGGTATTTAACTGATAAATCACTACTGCGTGAAACCTCGTTGTATTCAGCCGAAGCGGTGGAGGAACATATTAGAGTAGTTTGTCATAAATGGAGCCATTAAGTCAATAAAGTGATTGCGTTTATCATGAATGGAGAGACACTGTGTTCATTAGCAGGCACGGTGGGAAGATCAGGTCACAGTTGACATTTTACATTTTACATTTAAAAAGATTTGGTCCTGCGCTTTAGACTTTAAACACATTTAATAATCAAAGAGCTAACTGAGCTAGCCATCGCCACGTTAGCAGCCTCGTCTGGGTTAAAAACAACTCGTGACACTCGCAGTCAATAGTAAAACCAGCAGCTCAAAAACACCGTGTAAGTTCTCCCTTTACTGTTTTGTTTCGTTTAAATTCTGATATTAAGCACAAAGAGTCCCAAGAACTCACCTGGTAACACTGACACAAGGGGGTCGCCATCTTGAATGTAATGCCTATGACCTTCTTCCGGTGGTGACCTTCCACATCCACGAGGGGGAGGTCATGAGACGATGCCTCCTATTATTGACCCCGTGGGCTTTATCGCCACATACTGCTCAAATGGGCCATCATTCAACTTCGTGCATTAGTACACCAGTAACACTAATACTTATGTTTGTCTCAAAAATGTTAACTGACATCAAATGATAAGAATGTGAACGTCATTTAGCATTACTGCTTTAATCACAAGAAAACTATAAGCTGATGATCTGATGATTGATCCATTCACAGACAAAGCAATAACACAAAGGAGTCCAAAGCATTTCAGATATTAAGGTTTATTTATCAAAACACCTTATAGAACAAAGGCAATGACAAGTGAAGCATGACAAAAAAAAAAATTAAAAATTTGGTCTCTAAAAAAAGTAAAATTTAAGCAAGAACTAAAACACGTTCACTGTTACAAATAACTAAAACAACATTTGCACCGGTACGAATATCTAACAAACCAAGTGAATATGAATATGCTGAAGGGCAATTCAGATGATACAGAGCGTTTAGACATTAGAGACTAAATGAAATGTCTGATGTAATGCACACGAATGACTTATGCATTTCTATCAATCCTAACATCAATTTCTCTTCCATTCAGCCTATAGCCATTCATGGTCCGGCAGACGCGCTCAGCAGTTTCCGGGTTGTCGAAGCGAACCACACCGCAGCCCTTGGACTTGCCGTTCTCCATCTTAATATCAGCATACTGAACCATGCCTGGAGAGGGGAGAAAACCAATGTTATAAGTCATGTTTAATTTAAAATAAACAATTATTCATTTTATTTTTACTATGACTATTCTTACCGCATGTATTGAAGGTATCCTTCAGCATCTTCCAGGTGAAGTCAAATGGCAGCTGAAAGACAAAATGTATTCAAAATTAATTATAGTCGTGTGAGAACATGTCCAGAGAGGAGCGGTGATATTGGTGAGGTGCCTGCACAGAGCCAAAAGGACACTGAAAGACAGCACCCACTCCAGCCACAGCCTGTTCACCCTGCTGCCATCTGGGAAGAGGCACAGAAGCTTCCACTGCTGTACCACCAGACTTAGACAGCTTCTTCCCTCAGGCTGTGAGACTGTTCATTTCTTCCTCAACAATTCATCAAACTAAGACTTTTTCAAAGTAGCACAATATGGAACTATATCCAAATTTCATTCCACAACCTTGAATTAAACCAAAATGCCTTATTGAGAAACACTTACATTTCTGACAAAGATCTGGCATCCCTTCCTGACATTGCCTCCTCCGGTTCCAGGCCCTCCAGCTCCTCCAAAGGAGTTGCCACCAAATCCACGATCCAAGTCAGCAGAACGATCAAACTGACCGCCAACACCTCCAGACCCCATGCGATCCATGCCAGAGCTCATGCGGTCGAGGCCACCGGAGGGGAAGCGGTCAAGTCCTCCAGTGGAGCTGATGCGGTCGAAGCTGGTGGCCATTCTGTCAAGCCCGGTGTTGCCCATGCGATCCATACCCATTGGGGAACCAAAGTCCAGGCCAGAACCCATGCGATCCAAACCAGATGGGCCTAAGCGGTCAAACCCAGCTGGGCCGAGGCGTTCCATGCTGGAGCTCATACGGTCCAGGCCAGGTCCAAGCCTGTCCATACTGGGCCCCAGCCGGTCCATTCCCGAGCCCATCCGGTCAAACCCAGAACCCAGCCTGTCCAGGTCAGACACGCGGTCCATCCTGTCCATGCCCATCCGGTCCATCCCTGCCATGCGGTCCATGCTGGTTCCCAGGCGGTCCATTCCAGAGCTCATGCGATCCATACCCAGGGAGTTTCCTATAAGAGCGAGTAAACAGAGAGGAAAAAGAAATGTTACATTGACTGCTTAAGCGAGCATAACTACTCTGAGCCTCATCAGATGTAATCAGAGGAATTTCAAACAAAATCCTGAAAATACTAACCCATTCCTCTCTCAAAGGAGTCTCCAAAATTATTGCGAGACATTCCCATTTCATTTCGCCCAAACTCCCTGTCAAAAGCACCACCAATCCCACGGTCCATCTCTGACAATGCAAGAGATGAAACCATTAGAAATGTCCAGCAAAACGTGAAAGTGTCCCACGTTTGCTTCTGTCTAACATCACAAAACGCCTCCTTACCATTCATCCTGCCCATCCCTGAAGAACCAAAACGTTCCATGTTGTTCATTCCTCCAAAGTTGTCCATTCCTATAACAGAGGAGAACAAAGTCTTAATGCCAGAGGACAAAACCAGAAACTGATAGATAGGCGGGGCATGGAAATTTTATACCTTTATGGTACCAGTGGAACTTAATATTTAAAGTATATATAATTTATATAAAATGCAATCTGCTGTGCTTTCCTCAATGATAACCTTTGTGTAATAGAGCTAAAGTCTAATGGTAAATGTTTCGAAGTAACACTTTTTAAAAGTTTTTACTTTGATTGATAGAGAAAGCACTGAGTTTACAGCAGCTGAGGTGAATACAGCAAGGGCCAGAGCCACTTGAAAATCTTCAGTACGTACCTCCTCCTCCTCCTCCTCCTCCCCCCATACGACCTCCCATGTTGCCAAAGCCCATTCCATCCATTCCTACAAGCGAGAAGAGTGATAATAAGCCACTGATTTCACTGGTGTCTTTTGTTCAAGGATCTCACAAAACATAGTAGCTAGTTACCTCCGGGTCCCATGTTGCCCATTCCTCCACCACCACCTCCTCCTCCTCCTCCTCTGTTGAGTTGGGTAGCATCAATGGGCTGGCCACCAGGTCCCAGGCCCAAACCAATACCACTCAGGCCACCTTGGGCAGAAAAAATGGGTACAGAATTAAAATTCTGCCTAGACAAGAAATTTTAAATAAATATACTGCATACACTATTACTATCTTTAGCATCAGAAAGGCAGAAGCAGCACTTAAGCTGTAGGGACCTCTAAAATGTTTATTCAGTGTGTTGTAGAGGCCCCCATGGCACCTGACAAAGCACCCTGTGTATATCAGTGTCCCTAAATAGTTTTACTCTGCACCCAATACACAAAAATATCATAGATGCAGTTCTCCACCAAACCAAAGTAAATACATTTAACTGGCAAAGATGCAATGGTTATAATATTGGGGGTATGGTTTATACTTACGGGGAAGAGCAGAAGCTCCTCTGTCAGGAGGTCCAAAGTCTTTGGGCAGGGATTTCTCATCCTGAAAAAAAGCAACATAAAAGCATTCAGACTGTGCTCTCCAATCACAATGTGATCCAATGTACAGTGAGGTTTAAGCAACTTACCAGTTTGACATGCATGACTCTGTTGAATAACAGCTGTCCATTGAACATAGCTGTGAAAGCATTAAGGAAAGCACACCAGAGACATTTCTGAAACTATGCAATTCTACTGAATTAACATTCTGGTCCTACATCTAACAAGGTAATCAAATCAGCAAACATTTCACAAAAGGATACAGACAGCTTGGACTGCTTCAAGGGGCATATCAAACGTCACTGTGCCCATGCCTCTGCTTTTCCCATCCTTGTCCTCCAGAATGTCTGCTCTCACCACCATGCCCGCCATGCTGAATACCTCTTTCAGCTTCTTCCAGCCCACTTTGTAGTCAAGCTGTAGGCACAAGGAGCAATTTGAGAAATGGTTACATAAACAAGTCAGACTAACGTTTCAGTTGCAAACTAATGGTAATGCTGACCAATACTGAACCTTTAGTCATTTTGTTAAAGTAATTAAGATTATATTAAAAATATTTAGCGGCTACAGTTTCTCAAGTGTATTTGTGAAAGACCTTTGTCTTTTCATATCACTTAATATACATTTGGGGGTTTTAGAACATAAAAAACAATGGGGAAACTCTGGAAGACTCACATTAGCCACAAACACAGTGCTTCCAATCCTGCCAGCCTGGAGACCATGGATGATCTCATTGGGGATGTTGGGGTTGTTCATCAGGCTAGGAGGAATGTTGACCATTCCTGGGCCATTTGGTCCAGGCCCCATTCGATCCATGTTCATACGATCCATTCCACCCATTCCTCCCATTCCCCCATGGCCCCCTGGTGGGCCTCCACCTTGAGCCTTGTTGATTTCTCTCTGAGCAATAACACCATCAGGGTCCTGAAAGCAAAAAAGGATTAAAATGTGACTCAGGAAAATCCACAACTGATGTTGGTCTCTTTGTTTGTCTTGCTGTGGCCTACCTCTTTCACTTTTAGGGGTCGTCCATTGAGGTTGTGCTTGTTGACCTTCTCCACTGCTTTCTTCATTAGCTCCTCAGTCCTAAACTCAACAACACTGGACAGAAATACACAGTATATCCTGTTAGAGCAATCAATAAACTTCCAGGTTTTGGTCACATACTGATACAGGTCTTCATGTAATCACAGACACAAAGTTATAAATAAATGGACAGTTTACTTACGCGCAACCCTTTGTTGATTGAAGACATAACAGGTCACACCCAGAGGAGTAAAGAATAATTAAAATTAGTAAAAGCAATGGTTATAACAGGTGTCCTAATTGAAACTAAGTTTAAGCAAAAATATTGAATTTCATGCACATTAAAAAGTTCAGCATCACACAAGCCTACAGACTTGGCAACAACTCTGATTCCAGATAGAATTACAATGGTAAGATCTCACATTTTTCCCAGTCACATCTGGTGAATATTAGAGTATTTTTCCCAACATCCAAAGGGCAGAAAATCCACAGTGAGATAGGATTCCCCACTACTAAGATATTGGAGGTAACTTTCCCGTAAAACAGTTCTACGGAATGGGTTATATTTAACAACCATCTAACAGCCGTGTAACAACCTCTAGCAGACTAGACCCCTTTAGTTCATGAGGAGCAAATCCGGCAACCAAAGGGACATTGTCAGCTACTGCAATCCCACAATTGGCTACAAAGAAAGCTGACGTCCTGTTGTAAGAGCATCAACCCTCGGGGTGACCTCGAGTCAGTGCCACAGACGACACCAAATAAAACACACTTCCGCATGTCACCATCTCGCACACTCCACCAGGTTTCTGAATCTGAACAATTCCCAACAATGAAAAGAAAGAAACCAAAGCTGACAAACACAGGTTTGTCTAGGATTATTCATATTTTTTATTTGTATGTATTTGCACTTACCCTCGATTTGCCTTCTGCGTCCATTAAGTGTTCCACGTACGTTACCTCACCCACTACAAATCAGATTCCAGAGACGACACACACCAAGGGGAGAGAAGCCGAGAGAACAATGGGGGTTTAGAGCAGAAACACAAGTAGGGTGGCCGGTGACAGTGACCTCAGACTGCCATTCCTGAGCCTTCCCCCAGTACCTCAGCAGCAGCACAATATGGTACAGGTCTACAAAAGGCAAGCTTGGGTTTTTTTTTTTTTTTAAAGTAAAGACTTCTTAGCCTGTCCTTGTTGGAATTCTCCCGAAGCACCAAAAGCAATAGACTGAGGACAACAACTGTTGAAATGGCCATCAGCCTTCCTGTTTGGATATAATGCCGTGAACACCACCTTCTAGCTGGAGATAATTGAACAAATAATTTCAAAAAGGCAAAACCCGTTCAATGCTTCAGCCCGTTTCGTTGTCAAACCTGTACATACTTGGTCTAATGTCGCCATTTTAAACCTCAGGCCAATGCATCAATACATTCGTCCATCAGCCGAGCCTAAGAGGAAAACTACAGCTAGAAAACTAACCATAATCTTAATGACGGCACACTCTTAAGGGAAGAAACTTCTCTAACTGCAAACATGTTCTAAAAAGTGGACCTGTTCCTGAAACGCACAATATCAGAATTTTGATTTAGTCCCGCCTTCATTCCAGATCACGTGTCTGTTCATTGAATGGACATCAGTGACCAAACCTCTGCAGACAAGGACAGTGCATAAGAAGTTGCTTCATTTTGTAGACCTGTACCCCAAAGAAATCCCCAACGCATAGCTGTGTTCGGCACAACATGGAGATCTGCTGAGAAAACATTTGCTTGTCAAGGTCACACCTAAAAAAGAAAATGCAATTTAACTCCACAGTCAGTTGTCATGAAACAAATACCAGGCACTCCTTCGGAAAAAGGATTGTACCTTTAACACATGCTTTAACTTCAAGTAAATGCCAGTTTTGTGCATTACTTATGGTACATCTATCACTTTCCAATACCCCATAGCTATAAGTACTTTCACATGAGTAACACCACATGTAAATCCATATTGTACATATAAGAGAAAACTTTAGGCAAACCCCTGCTGAAATTCGAAGTTGCTGCATCACAAATGATTTCGTTTGACATGTCTCCAAAATTTGGACTTATTTATAAATCATGAGAGCTCAGGTTTTACCATTAATTGCATGTTGCAACTGAGTATTCCTCATTTCTGGGCAACATCATACAACTGTTGTACTTCCCCCCCCCCCCCTCTCCGTGCATTTCTTGGGGAAAAGCATCTCATGATGCCACTCATGATCCCAAGCCATTGGATTTTCACATTAGTGGACCGGCTTTACACATGTACAACCTCCACTTCACCAAAACCACAAAATGTTTTAGTAATCTCAATGGAGAATAAATGTTCAGTCTAAGGTTCACAGCACGTATTCAAGTCTGCAGCAACTCCTTAGTTGACGGACAAATAAGAGGGACCTCGTCCAAAACCTTTATTCCAAATAACTCCCACGAGATCTCGAGCAACTTTGTACAACTTAAGTCCCTACACAAATTCCCAAAAGCCCCTCAAAGCTCCAGTGGTCAAACAAAATGACCCTGGATGCTGCAACTTTTTGTCATGTCCAAAGGTGACTTAGTCTATCCCTTATCCAAACACCTTACCTTTTTCTTTCATCAGGTCTTTGAGGGCTTGCCATTTCACATCATATGGGATGTTGCTGACAAAGACACGGTATCTTTTGTTCACATTTCCATAGGGTTCGTAGCGCCCGCCACCACCTCTCTTCTGGGGCCTCTCCTTCCTGCTGGAGTCATGCTTGGCTTTCCCATTAACTTCTCTGTGTAAAAAGATCAGTTAATACAGAGAGTAATAGTGAGTTAGGTCAACATGCTTTTACAAGAGAGCCCAGAAAGGGGCAGAATACAGCCAAGAGTTAAGTGTAAAATCACTGCAATCATGTGCTATTGCATATTATAACTAACTAAATAGAATTAAAACATAACACAGGCAGCACCATTTTGACTTTTTGTAAAGCCATTAACATAACTCCTTCATAAGGAGTAAAATGAGACCACTGCTGTAACTCAACCCAGTAACGTTAGTGGGTCTAAAGGGATTTTCTTTAATCTGATAATGAAAAAACATCTTCAACTAGTTAAATCTTGAATAAATCATACGGTTAGTGATACTATTGCAAACACTTGAAACGATTAGATATAGTTAATAATGATTTGAACTGGAGTCAATGGTTTGCAATCAGGACGACTGCACTTCAGCCGCATGGCAAGGCCGCTGTTTGAACATAGTAAGCCGATAATTAAATTAAAGTTACATTATTTAAGTACCTATAGTTAAACCGAGAACAAATAGAAAAGGAAAACCAACTACACTATTAAGCATTAAAAGCAGCAAAGTGATCCGCTATCGTGAAATTACGTTCTGTTACGTAAAATGGTCGTATTCTCCCAGTAAATAGACGGGCCCCAAACACACGCCACCTCAACCGTGGAGACGACGAAATTTAAAACACAGTGCGCGCGTTATTACACAACTGCCTCATCAGGGTGCAACTAAGGGAACATTTTCAACAAAAAACTAGTCGAAGTACGACATTCCCGTGGATCGGAAGCATTAAAGCAGACTGGATAATTAGCCACAGCTAGCTCGTAAGCGCCAACAAAGGAACCGTGATGAATGGACTCACCCCTGCTGCTGCTGCTGCTGCGGCGGCTGGCCTACTTTCTCGGCAGTATTTTCGGCCTGCTCGTTGGACATCGTCTTGCGCAGTTTAGTGTCTTACTAAATTAAACTGTCTTGGTTGATGTTAACGAGTGAAGCGCCCTCAAAAGTGACCTGAATGCAACAAATACTCGCTACGTTAGCTTAATGACAACGCCTACCACTTCTGCGACACCAGCTAACGAAAATGGCGGAGAGCCGTCTGCTGGGAATTTTAAAACCAGGGATACAATGGCACATCCGGTACTTTCCAAAGTAAAGGTAACACGGCACACACGGGATTTTCAGAATAATAGCGCACGGAATACATACATTTTTGTGAGAAAATGTTTTTACTACATTGAAAGAAACATTGTTTTGTACAGGTAACCATTTTTTGACTGATTTAAAATTGAAACATGATGACCATATTTTGGTTTGGATAAATAATCAATCAGTAATATAAAATTAAATCAACAGAATTATGTATCAGTTTTGACTCAGTGATGTTTAGTATGTATGTTGCTGGAGAAATTGGCTTCTTCTTCACTCTCAGACTTTAAATGTCCGGGGAAGCACATCTTCGATTCTTTCATCTTTCGTCATGAATCAACAAGTTTATCTGAGTTGCTCTGTGTCTCGTCTCTTTGTCACTTTGTTTTACTTTTAACATAAATCTTTATCATAATTGATATTGATAGCACCCCTATTCATAGTATAAAATTAATGTACAAAATTAAAAAAAATCTTGCTTTAATTTAGTAAATTCCATGTTAATTGATGCACATTATTTCCATTTTTTATTTTTACGTTTACTATATGTAAATATACATATACATTAATTTCTATTTTATATATTGTGTTAGGAAATTATATATATATATAAACTATTTCTTTAACCTTGTGTGAGTAGACTGTTAACGAAATCTCCCCCCGGGATCAATAAACTATTTGTAATTCTGATTCTGATTTTCTACCTATTATTACTATTACTATATTATTATTTTCATGTTAGATTTTCAGATGAGAGCTGTTATCTAATTCTGTTTTATTCTCCAATGCATAAACTGTTTGAAACGACATGTTATTTAGCTTCTAGAGGGTCTTTGAGTTAATATGATTGTTTTTGTCATTGTACCAATCAGACTAGTTGTTTTGATTTATTTGAAATAAAAACCAATAGCCTGCAGTTCACCGCCAGCCCTGACGGGGGCAGCAGTACATTATTGAGTACAACAGTAGGGTTCACAACGACAACAGCGGGGACGGAAGTAGTGTCTGTTTAGCTTCTCACCTAGCCTTAACATTAGCTTCTTAATATTCTTATTAACTGCCTCTATAGCTTTCACGTTTACGAGAAGCGTTCACGGTAATATCACGAAAACAAACTCTACAATACCCCTGCGTCAACTGTCTGCGGCTCTGTGTAAAGTTAGCTTTTGTCTAGGAGCGTATTAGTTACAGTGTACCGCCGCATTACTGAATGTGTGCCTGTGAATGAATGAACAGTATTCGCGTTTGACGGGTTGTGAGAGCGTTAATTAACAACACAGTTAGTCATGGCTACTGGTGCGGATGTCAGGGATATTCTGGAGTTGACCGGGGGAGAAAATGACGGTCCCATCAGCAAGAAAGATCTCATCAACTCGGACAAGGTGAGAAATAACCGTGAGGTACCTGATGATGCCTGTCCCAGTATTTATTGTCATTTTCTCTGATCACAGGCTATAGGACTAAAAAAAAAACCACAAAACCATGCCATTGCCACAGCAAGAAATTGAGATGATGTTGCTATTCTGTGATAGAGAGTATAACCAAAAGTTTTCTTGGGGATAAATAACCAATTTCTCAACCACCTGTCTCAGAAAAAATCGAAGAAGACAACAGAAACGCTGACCTTCAAGAGACCAGAGGGAATGCACCGAGAGGTCTACGCTCTCCTCTATTCAGATAAAAAGTATGGAACTCGCTTTTGGTTTGTCTAAAATCGTTGTATTGATTAAATCTCGAGGTTTTGAGTCAAGCTGCTCTACTTACTACCATTTTCTTACTTACTAGTGTTAAAAGGTTGCATTAGTAAAGGCCCGGGGTGAAGATGAGAAGTCGGGGTGTTTTTGTCTCTTCCATGGACAACGATTGTTCACCTCGAATTCAGAAAAGGCGGAGGAAAATGACAAGAGATGCCATTCTTTTCTGGTGTGTCAATCAGAAACTAAGACCAGTGATGTGACAGTCAGGGGCATATTCACCCAGTGGTTCATGTTGAAGCCTCGCTGAAAGAGAGAGCTTGTCAGTTTTCTGTTTTGCAGCATATTTTGTATAATGCCCGTCCTAGTAAATTTCAAGGCGAATAACGTACTGTATATCAATGTCCCTGGGCTCAGACTTTGCACACTGCTTTTATATTATCCTTCATACAGACAATCATACATAACTGAGCTGGTTAGACTACAAAATAGATAAATCAGATTTTCCACCGATGTTTTACCCTTGCTTTAACAAACCCTTGTTTTTTCCGTCAATCCCCAGAGATGCACCCCCTTTGCTGCCCAGTGACACTACTCAGGGCTACAGGACAGTCAAAGCCAAGCTGGGCTGTAAAAAGGTGCGTCCCTGGAAGTGGATGCCCTTCACCAATCCTGCTCGCAGGGATGGGGCTATATTTCACCACTGGAGACGTGTGGCAGAGGAAGGCAAGGACTACCCTTTTGCCCGCTTCAACAAGGTAGGAATGACTACAGTTTCCCCTTTAGTCTAATCACAATACCAATTGATATTTACAGCTTTCCATCCTCTGTCCTCTCCTCCTTTTCACACATATACACTGATATACTCCTTTCAGATACTCGTCCTGATTCACTGTATTCTCTCTGTTCTCCTTTCTCCTTTTATAGACAGTGCAGGTACCAGTGTACTCAGAGCAGGAGTATCAGGTGCATCTGCATGATGATGGCTGGACTAAAGCAGAGACAGACCACCTGTTTGACCTGTGCAAGCGCTTCGACCTGCGCTTCATAGTTGTCCACGACCGCTACGACTACCAGCAATACAGAGTAATCACACAGTCACTCATCTACAGTACTTGTGTTCCCTTTCACTGAGGGCATATTGCAAAAATCAGAATGCTGTGAGTTAAGGCCATTACTTGTAGTAACAATCTTCTTTTTATGCTCTTCAGAAACGATCTGTGGAGGACCTAAAAGAACGGTATTATAGTATTTGTGGTAAGCTGACCAAGGTTCGTGCAGCTTCAGGGACAGAGCCCAAGATCTACATATTTGATGCCGGCCATGAAAGGCGTCGTAAAGAGCAACTAGAGAAGCTGTTCAATCGCACGCCTGAACAGGTTAGTATCTTTGTAATTTGATTTGAATTTGGATTCTCATGCTGCTGTTCAGATCTTATAACTTATAATATTGCCTGGCGTAAGCATCATGCTGAGAATTAACCAATTATCACTGCAGGTATTAATGCAGTAATGCATTTTTGTGTAATATTGCCAAAGCTTGTAAGATGATTTTCAGCCTTGTAAATATTAAGATTGCACTTCGCTTGTTTTTCCTGCAGGTGGCAGAAGAGGAATATCTTATTCAAGAGCTCAGGAAGATTGAGACAAGGAAGAAGGAGCGTGAGAAGAAGGCCCAGGATCTGCAGAAACTCATTAAAGCAGCTGACACAACCACAGAGTTAAGACGAGCCGAAAAGAGGGTTTCCAAGAAGAAGCTCCCACAAAAAAGAGAAACAGAGAAACCGGTATGATATGCACTCATACAAAAGAAGCACAAGTAAAGCACAAGCCAGCAATTGGTACCTGAGAAATGTTTTCCTCTTCTGTAGAGGCAAACAACTGTTAAATATTTTTATGACTGACTTGCCTCAGCTGTCAACCTTATGATGGTGCTTTAATGCAGTAGTACATTGAAATAATTACGATTCAGCTATTTTGTATTCATCATTTGATATTATTTTGATAAAACAGTTGTGTCTCAGATAAACTGAGGGGGCTCTTGTGTCTCTCCGTTTGTGAATCACTGATTTATCCCATAAGTTATTTTAATATTTTAAAATGTCTAGGCCATCCAAAGTTCAGAGGGGTGTCTTTTCTCATCTCTCATCACTTACTTCTTCTCCTTTAGGCTGTTCCAGAGACAGCAGGCATCAAGTTCCCTGACTTCAAATCAGCAGGAGTCACGCTGCGCAGTCAGAGGGTGAGTACAGCTAGATCCTATTGAGGTATTAAAATTACAGAAAGAATATTCTGAAACATGTCTTCAACTTAAAACTTCACTTTGGTTCTCAAATACCAGTGACACCAATCTGAAACAAAGGACAAACCTGAAACTACAGTAGTCATCAAGTAATCCCAACGTTCTATATTAATTACTTCTATATCTTTTTACTGTGCTGACATTTATTATTGGTACTGAACTTTCTGAACTAGAATTTTTTATTTTTTTGTAAAGTTTTGTTTGGAACACTATTAATATTAAAACAATTTTAGCGAAGCTTGACTTTGCAGTTGACGTATGTGAGAAACCAGAGTGTCTGACTTGAGCCCAGCTATCTCTCATTAGCAGTGAGATGATTAATTCTGTTAGTCACTAGCTAATATCTGTAAGACCTAGCAAGGGGACTCTTATTCATCTTCAAGACTGATGAGGAGCTGCCGCTCTCTATGGAAAATGCATTAGCACAGCTAAAGGAGTGGAGTACCCCTCTAGCTAATCAGTCAGACAGAGTTCAGTGGATAAAGACATTTTGATCTGGCCCGCTGAAGTGCATTTCATACGAATTAAAAGCCCCGAGGTGGTGCTGTTTATCCTAATATCCCTGGCACCTTAAATCACACCCTTATGTGTGTTGGTGTGTGACTTTCTCTGTATGTTTGTGTGTGATTCAGATGAAACTGCCAAGCTCAGTAGGCCAGAAGAAGAACAAGGCCATCGAGCAGATCCTGATGGAGCAAGGAGTGGGTAAGTGTGGATAAATGTTAGCTCATGATTGCTCAGGTCTCAAAGTTTTGAATTTTTAACTCTCTTCTGCAACAGACTTCCAATATAAGGATCCTAAATTAGGTATTTAGTGGTCTCGGTTTGGTGTTTTCAGTATAGCAGGGATTTATTTCTCTTTATTTTGAATAACAACCACTTAAAGGAATACTCTGACATTTTTTAAATGTGTACAGGAAGAAATGAGGACAGTGCAGTTTAAAAGCAGCAAGCTCACACTTACCTATTTCTTAACAAACACCATGTGGGCACAGTGTCTGCATGCAGCTTCTCAGAGGTCCTGTCCTCATCTTGAAGTTGTGTGATGACATGGGAGGGTTTTAAAGGTATGGCAGTTGTTGTGGTTTTGTGATGTTTTAATAAAAGTGCTTAAATGTAATTTTCACTCATCTTTGCCCTTGTTGTTTGTCTGTGGATCCAGATCTTAACCCCATGCCCACAGAGGAGATTGTTCAGATGTTCAATGAGCTGCGTAGCGACCTGGTGTTGCTGTATGAGCTGAAGCAGGCCCACAGCAATTGTGAATACGAACAACAGATGCTGCGTCATCGCTATGAGGCCCTGCTGAAGGCTGGTAGCGGAGGTGGGTGTGGTGGAATTACAGGTGCTGGACTAGCCGCCGTAACACAGGGGGGAGAGCTCAATTCCACCAACAGCACTTCAGCATCCACCCCAGGGGGTGAAGCTCAGTCCTGGCCCAGTACAGATGACATCAAGGTGGAGGCCAAGGAGCAGATCATTGATGTTGTTGGAGCACCACTTACCCCCAACTCAGTAAGTCTGCACAGCTTAGACCCACATTTTTTTTCAAACCATCACTCAACAATTGGGTGAAGATCTTTCTACTAGAGCTGTTTTTTAAGTCTTTTGAACAAAATCAAAAATCTCAAGTGTTTTTGACCAAGTCTAAGATGTGAGGTTTTTTTTTTGGTCTATTAATGCTTAGTATATCCCTCTGTGGATTAAAAAAAAAACAAAAAAAAAACGTCTCATTCTAAGGTAGCAAAAACACAATGATTGTTATTTTCAAGTTATTATACACTAATGAAACCATACCTATGAACTTTATATATGCCAGTATATTCTCCTAAATTTTACACACTGGACCTTTTAAACAACATTCACTATTTATGACGAGCTTGCCTGGCAGTTTAGCACACTTGTTCTAGAAATGATGGATTGTAAATAGGTAAAATAGTCGTCCAGGCTACACTGACTGTAGTGCAATAAGAGGAGGAAATCCCTGCAAGACCCTGATGTGATTGTTCTGTGTATCACATTGCAGCGCAAACGGAGAGAGTCTGCATCCAGCTCGTCTTCAGTGAAAAAGGTGAAGAAACCATGATGAGGACGAGCTGCTACACGGTGGAGGACAACGGGGGCCGTGTTACTTACTCTGGTCACAGTGGAGATGCCCGCAAGTTTTATGGTCGGACAAGAAAGATACAGAGCAGAGCAGGACACCATATTGCTGTCCATTTACCTAGAAGCACCACTGACCACACACACACATACACACAACTTTTCACCTACCAACGAGACCTCTTCAAGCCCTCCCCATCTGGCCTGCCCAGCATCTTTGTGACAAAGGCAACAACTGAGTGACATTTCATTCCATTACTGCTCGACTCCCTGCCTCCACCATTGCTCAGCCTTAGATGAGGCAAGATCAACTGTAAATTGCCAGGCTGAGCTAATCGGGACACGGGGAAGAAGGTGGGAATGACTGGGTAATTGAAATGAATTGGAATGAAAGAAGAGACTCTGGGAGTCGGAGGACCTCGAGCCGCAATGCTAATTTGACACCATCTGAGTTTTGTTTTTTTGTAGCCTAATCATGCCATAGCGTTTACTGGAAATGTGTTTTTGTGTTAGCCTTTAGTACCCACTGTAGCTCCCTCTCAACCCAGAGCGCGTCTCGCTCTCTCATAGATCGTGGTTCCATCTGCTGCCCATGGTTTATGTTGGACTAGTGCAGCTGATTTGTGTTGTTTGTCTTCAGGTGACCTTGAAAATGATTTAGTCAATGATTCAATAAACCCCATTGTTTTTTTTGTTCTTGCTGCGTGTTAGACGTGTTTATGCCATGGCATGCATGTGTCGCTCTGTCTCAGATGAGATCTTAACTTGGATGTAATTGGTGTTGAATACATATTTGCCAGAGAAATTGTAGGATCATGACATTCTTACCTCACCTGCCATCAAAGTTAAGTGACAACTAATGACTTCATTAATATGATAATTAAGTAGTGATCATTCTTAGGTTGGCACAGCCACTGAAACTTCATTAGGGTCCCTCTCCATAATATTGCTAATTGCGTGTCAATTATATCGTTTAGCCTACTTAGACATTAATTTCTATGCAAATTTTCAATACGTTTCAATACGCCCAAAAGAGCAGAATACTGTGATCTGGGCATGCTGTGTGTATTTATATATCTATATACATGAACACAAAAATTGAAGAATGGTACTGCAATCTGCATACAAACTCCAGTCATATTGCAGTCTGCCATGTTTTTGGTCTTTTTATTTTCTTCTTCATCTATTTGTCTAAAAAACATCCAAAAACCATTTAGTGGGCACTTCTAATGGTTCATGGGTTACAAATGTTTGAATTTATGAGCTTAACTCATTTTGTTGATTCGATTGTCATTTGTGCAAAAGAAATAATTTACTCAAAAGCAAAAAAATAGCAAGACGGCATGAGCCTCTCCAACATCAGAAGCCTTCTCTCTTAGCTGCCATAATGTGAAAACGCTTTAAAACCCACTGCTACATCATCACCACATTCAAAACATCTTCATTTACAGCTCTAATAAGCACTACTAAGGTTACAGGAGTAAACCCATCCACTCACTGTAGGCCGTTTGATTGAGAGAGAGAAAAAGAGTGAGAGGAGGCAAGTAAACATGGGTAAAATGGATTCTCAGTGTCTATATTTCATGTTGAAAATTGGCTCATAAATCCAGTGGTTTGATCTATGGAACCCGTCGTTGCTTGAAAAAACCTCCGTAAATGTGTAATTTCTCCCTTGACAGAACACAGCCGAAAGGCTATCTTTCTTTTGCTTCCTCCTCCCCTCTCCCCTTTTTCTCTGTCTCTCATTCTCGCTCCCTCTCTCTACCAGCCTGGTGTTGGATTAATGCTCTGCTCTCCTCCCCTCTCTCCTTTCATGCTCCTCTGATATCTTCTTTTCATCACTGCTCATCCATTTATCAAAACTGGGGCTTCTCTCTACCTCTCAATATCTAAACCTATCTCAAGTTATATGGCAGGTATCTTGTAAGAGGCTTCAAGAAAGTGGAGGTTATTAATAAATACTAGTCTAAATTGAAAATAGGTGGGCCAGGATGCATCACCAGCCATGTGTGAATGATAAAGACCCCCAGCAGCCCCCATCTTGCTCCATCTGCCATGAGCTCCATCCAGGCTACAGTGTACGTTCTGCAACACTGATGTGAAAAGCATGAGGCAGAACACCACGGCAGAGTGTCTTATAATGTGGTTGTGATGGCATTGAGATGGGATCTCTTTATCAAGGCCGGGCTGAGGCTTTAATCACGGCCTAAGAGGTGTGCTGGCTGTTTATCATAATTGAACTGTATCCAGGCTAATCGCTGGCATACGTCACTGTCGAGGGGTCGCTCGGCCGCACCACCGGGCGATGCTGGTGGTGGTGATTGAACACACAGTTAAGAGAAAAGATGTGTACTGAGGGACATAAGGCAGGAAGAGGCAGGTAATAGCAGATGTGATAGAACCCTGTTCAAATACATCACCGCCTTGAGGTAATCGCTGATGTGACAATGATTAGATTGTCGATGCCTCCTGGCCGTGGCACAGTGCTTTATACCCATCATGTCACATACAATCACTGATTACTACAAGGGAAAGAGGCAGGAATGGTGCAATAGGACTGCTAAGGACAGAGTCTGGATAATTTCCTTCCAAAGCTCAGGATGGAGCACTTACTATATGGGCCATAACAAATGTCCAAAACAGACTTTCACCTCCATGCCCCTCTCTCATCTCCATGTGTCTCACTTTGACTTTCACCTCCTCCAGTATTTAGGTCACCTTGAGGGAGAAAACTTTTAATCATTGTTCCACATCAGATTCACCTGTGCCCTCTGGGACGGCGAGCTGCAACAAAGGGGAGGGGAGCTGAAACCGCAGGTTAGAAAATCACCGTCGCCCATAGGGCTGGACAGTGGAAGTCATTTCCACTGGATTTTTTGCTGGTGGGGGAAGGCTTGCTACAACACATACCCAATCACTGGCACTAAGCAGTGCTTACAGCTAGGCATTAACCCCACTGTCCACTCTCCACATTAAAGCCCCGGGGAGGCAGAAGAGAGTGGAGTGGAGTAGAGCGGAGAGAGTCGGACTAAATCTAGACTTCCTATTCCCCGGCACTGGGCTGCTCTCGGAAGCATCTCCAGTCAGGTGCTGTTGTCTTTCAAGGTGTCCTACCTTGAAAAGAAGGAACGGGGCAGGATGGTCGTGAAATAGAAAAGGTCATTTTAGGAGAAGAGATTTTCTTGTTTAGTCTTATACACCAACCAGGTGGATTTAGATTAAATATTTCATATAATATATTTTATATATTTGATTGATACTTGTTTGATTTTATCTATTGAGAAAACACAGTCCCCATTATACAAAGTCAAATGTACCTGTATTCACACAGCAGAGAAGACACTCAAAATGTGATTTTGTTTGAGTAAGTAAATCTGGAATTGTTGCTTCTTTTTTTTAACATGTTTTTAGATCATCAGTGCAACATTTTAAAATTAGAAATTTGTGTTCTAACTAAACGTCATATGATTGCAAAACATGTTTTCTTACCCTGACTTATATAGCTGGAATCAAGATTATGAAAACGTTTCCACCTGGGGGGCAGTGCAACCTGAATACACAATATTATTATCAACTGATAAAGTGGGTAAAAGTGTGAGCAAATAGATCTGATTGACACATCCAGCAGACACAGAAACAGTATTCGTTTGGACATTTTTGTTTCTGGACATATGACAAATTTAAATCCTTATTTACTTTGCTTTAAACTTTTATGTTTCCAACAACTCCTTCAACAAGATTTCTAAATCTAAGGTGGTGGACAACACACGCAGAGATGGTGAAACAGCACTTCATGGGTGTTTATCAGTTTACTGAACTCATTTTGGTCCTCAGCTTCTACGTGTATCCATACATATGGTATTTTGTTTTATTGTCTATGATGAAGAAAGGTGGTACAAAGGGGTGAGCGGAGTGTGCTCTGTTCAGGTCAGAGCTGTGATTGCATGCTGACTATAAACTAGATCAGGTTGGACAGATCAGTTCCACTCTGTTCCACCATCAGCCCTCAGAAACAAACCTGTTTGACTTGATTCGTCAGTGAGAGATAGGGAGGCCTCTGAACAATATGTGACAGAGTTACCTTGGCAAACCAGTGCAGCGAATGTCCCTCTCTTCACCTGCACAAGCACCATTCTAACAAAGAAAAAAAATCCAATTTACCATGCGGATCCACAGCTGTCACGGCAGGGGAATTAAACATTACCCATAACTCACTGGGGGTGCTGAGCAGGTCAGCGGATGGCAGGGATGGTAACATCACTCTGGGGTGCAATAACAAAGGATTTTAACCTCTGACTCCTCCATCACTAGTGCTGCTGGCAGAACACCCTCCTCAACAACAGCAGCTCCCACCAAGCTGGTTAACAATCTCTGGTCAAGTTGATGACTTAACTTAACTGATACACACCTTTACTACTCATCGCTCAAAATTCTCCCTAACACAAACAGGAAGACATGGGGGAAATGTCAGCATAAATGCAATGCTTTCCACCTCGCTGGGTCCTGGAGCAGTTCCTGTGATGCTTCACAGGGGGTTGCTGAGATCCTGTAGCTACTGGCGTCCCGGTGTCATCACCCACACATGCTGACTGCTTGCCTGGCTGGCCCGCCACCACCAGAGTCTCAATTACCTGACTGACGTTTCATTAGCGCCTGCAGCTGATCCCGTGGCTGAGAGGCAGTGGGGCGCAGAGGAGCATGGAGCGAAAGAGAGAAGGGGTGGGTGGGTGTGTGGAGGGGCGGCTTCAGCGCATTACATTCTCATGCGCTGTCAGAGTCACAGCTCTGAGTACAGCCACACAGCCACTCATTACATTGCAGTCATTTAGTACATGCTCTTATTGAGCTGGACTGTGTATTCTAAAATAGAGCTGCCTGGGTTTTATCTGGTGACACCAGTTCTGAGCTGACATCCGCATACCTGTCCTGGATTGTTGGAGCAACTGAGAAGTGTGAGAGGTTGTAGATGTATGTGTGTGTGCGCATGTGATATAAGGTAGAGGTGTCTATGAGACAAATCAATCTGGTGCAGGTGTACTGATCAGAGGTTTATCTTTTCTTGTGTTTCTCTGTTTGTGTGTTCACGTGTGGAGCCATATGTGTGCGGTTGCATGTACTCTATACATACCTGGGTTTGTGTGTGATGTGTGTGGCCTCTCCATCCTCGGGGTTAGTGTAGGCCATGTCAGAGATGATCCAGGGCGGAGCTGAGGGGGCTTAGTAAGACCCCCGGCCTGAGCCTCTCCACAGAGCCCACGCTTGGCTGGCCTCTCCTTCCCATTTGTCATCCTGGGCCAGTAAGACCCCCGGAGAGATTAGGGCAGAGCAGAGAGACTGGAGGAGTAGCAGGAATAAGAGGATCAGTTAAGCTATAAACACAGACAAGTTTGTGTCTCTCACCCACACTGGCACAGTGACAGTTTGTAATGGCTGTCAAAAGTTCGCTCTGTGCCGTACATCTTCCTTTAAAGGACACCTCAGTGCCTGAGTGTGCCATACCACTTGCGTCGGCAAACACAACAGGTATAACAACTTTTATTGGTGTGATCAAATACTGTGCACTGTGTGAAAAGCAGGCTCAAGTTGGACATTAAGCAGAAGAGTTAACTGTATTGACCCACATTGACCCAAGCTAATAGACCATGACCCAATGCAGAGCAGAAAATGCAAAGGTTTGCCTATAATTAGAATTGTGTG